CCTTGGTGGGAAATGGCTATTGTGCTAATCCATGAGGACACAAAAAGAGGCAAAAGACAGTCCCTGCCCTCAAGTAGCTTACAATCTAATGGTGGAGAAAACAATCAAACAAATATAAACAAAGCAAGCTTTATGCAGGATAAATAAGAAATAATTAATGGAGGGAAAAGCACTTTGGAATAACTATTGTTTAGGAAATATTAACTTATATCAAGTGGAAATATGTTACTCTTCAACTCTTGCCTCTTTACAGCGTGTTCTATCTTATCTATATCAACTGCACCCTGACAGACTCAAACTGCTTGCTGATTTGATCTGAATTAAATGCTGTTCTCAATAGTTTGATTCACTATTTCAAATACTGCTTCCTTCTTGACTAGCCATTTCCCACCAAGGAAGAATCTTTGGGAAGGGGAGGCATTTCTTGTCTATCTCCCTCTCCAAATGGCTAGTTGGGAGGGAAAAACAAAAAGGAAACACAATTTTCTAAAGGTTCTAAAGGACAAAAGATTAATCACGCCCCTTAAAAGGAAGATCGATGCTCAAACTCAGGGAAAGTAATACATCTGAAAACTTGGTTGATGAAAAAAGGCTTGCTGCTACGAACAACGTCCTTTCTATAGGTGAAAAGATAAAAGTGCTCACTGAGTTAGACCCAGCATATTGATCATGCTGTGAGCTTTAGTCCTTATGTTAGCACCATTGCTTTTTTTATTCACCCATTAGGTCAGACAGAATTGAGGTTGTAAGACTTGGCTTTGAGTTTCCATCAGTCACAAAGTCCTGACAAGCAGGCAGCTCAGTTTCAAGTATGCAAGAGGCAGCCCAAATTTTCCATTTTCTCTATCAATCTCCCATCCATCCAAGTCCTTTTCACATGACTCTTTGTATACCAAAGCTCAGAGTCCAGGCCAATGTTCAACAACAATAGAGTTACAAATAATTTATAGCTCACTGGCCTTTGGGAAGAGCTAATGGGGAACAATTTCTACAGGTTCAAACATGAAGTGGGGAGAAGGGAAGAGGGAGGATTTTAGTGGATTCATCAGGTAGGGGAAGAAAAAGGTAAACTTGTACATGGACAGACTAAGGAATCAGGCTGCTGACCTGGGAATGGTTTAGTTGTGCCAAATTATAACCCTGGGCAAGTCTCTTAACTACTTTCACTTTCCTGTCCAAAATTCTTCTTCCTGGTGACAACTTCCTAATACATATTATCTTCCATCGTAACGTAAATACCTTTGAGGGCAGGAACTGACTTCCATAGTTGTATTTGTACCCCTGGGAGTTAGAACAGTTCCTAGTAAATAGTAAATGCTTGACAAATGTGTTGGGTTGGTTTTTTTTTTATTCATTCATTCATTCAAGTAAGGAGTATATTTGCAAATGTATGCCCTTGAGCCTGGTGCCACCATGAAAGTAGGCAGTGCCATCCTGTCCTCAGTGTCATCATAATAGTAATAAAGCTGGGGTTCAAACCCAGGTCCTTTGACTCCAAACTATTCTGCTACACCACACTGTGTCTAATAGATGGGATACTACCATCTTAGAAACTCCACGAGAGCAAGGGGCCATGCCAGATTGACTTTTATTCTTTCCAAAGCCCTGGCTTCCTTCAAGTCCCAGCTAAAATCTCTGATTTTTGGAGAAGTCTTTCCTGATCCCCCTAAATTCCAGAGCCTTCCCTCTGTTGAATACCTCCAATTTATCTTGTATAGCTCTTGTTTGTACAGAGCTGTTCTCATGTTGTCTCCCCCATTAAACTAGGAGCTCCTTGAGAGTAGGGAATCTGTTTTGCTTCTTTTTTTTTTTTGTATCTGTAATTCTAAGCATAGTGCTTGGCATATAGTAGGCACTTAATTAATGCTTATTAGCTCACTGAATACACAGTAGGCATCTATTATTTGCTGATTTGAGCTGAGTTTGATGATGTTTGTTGTTCAGACCTTAGCAACTGATCTTCACAAGTCCTAGCATTAGCCACTTGCAGCTTGATACCATCAATGGACCTTGGCTAGGTGGTTCAGAGGATAGAGTGTCAGGTCTGCAGTCTGGAAGACTCATCTTCCTGAGTTCAAATTTGGCCTCTGAGCAAGTCACTTAACCCTGTTTGCCTCCCTTCTTCAGCTGTAAGATGGGTTGGAGAAGGAAATGGCAAACCGCTCCAGTATCTTTGCCAAGAAAACCCCAAATGGGGTCACAAAGAGTCAGACATGACTGAAAAACAACTGGACAACAATAAAAGAAAAGAAGAAAGTCATTCCTATTTGACCAGGCCTCACCTCTGTGAAAACCATGAAGGATAAAATATTAATCAGGTAAATATGTGAGGCTAAGATCAGGCTCAAATTTTGCTCCCTTCCCCTTTCATGTCTATATCACACAACTGAGCAATGATACACCACCTAGCATTACTATTCCATGTTTATGTCTTGTCTCTCCTATTATAGTAACTATGAGCTCCTTGAATTATAGGAACATAAGATCACAGATCAATAGGTATGAGGCCTCAGAGGCCATCTAGTTGAACTCCCTGGTTGTGCAGTTAAGATAACTGAGGCCCAGGACCCAGGTAGATTAACTAATTTGCCCAAGGTCACAGAGGAAGTATCTGAGGCAAGATTTGAACCTAGGTCCTTTGACTTCATAGAAGGTACTCTTTCCACTGTACCATACTGCCTCCTCAAAAGTAAGAGTCATGTCATCCTTACTCTATGCCTTCCCCCGGACATTAAGTACAAATGCATTAGTAGGTAACCAATGTACTTTTTTAAAAATAAAATTTTATAGATATCTTTTGCTTTACATTGCCTAGATTTCTTCCAACATCCTTTGCTCTCCCTACTCCATGAGCCACTCCATACATAACAAAGAAAATTTTTAAAGGAAAAAAAGAAAAAGAAAAAGAGGAAGGTGTAGAAGGAGGTGTTGTTTTATGTCTTCTTTGGGGACATGATTGTTCTTTGCAATTCTGTGATATTTATTTTCAGTAGTTTTGTGGTGGTTATTCTTTTCATTCACATTGTTGTACTCAAGTACATTATTTTCTTGGTTCTGCTCACATCACTCTGCATCAAGTCATATAAGCCTTTCCGTGCTTCTCTATATTCAACACGTTCATTATTTCTTATAGCACAATAATATTCCATTGCATTCATGAACCACAACTTGTTAAGCCATTTGACAATTGCTGATCATCTACTTTGTTTCCAATTCTTTGCTACCACCAAAAGTGCTGCTGTAACTATTTTGTTGAATATAGGAAATTTCTCTCTAACAAGTACCTTGAGGCATTTGCCTACTAGTGGAATCTCTGGTTCAAGGGTATGGATATTTTAGTCACTATATTTGCATAATTCCAAATTGCTTCCCAAATTTTTTATACTGATTTGCTGCTTCAGCAACAATATTCTAGTGTATCTATCTTCTCCCAACCCCTTCAACTTTGACTATTCTCATTTTCGATCATCTTTGTCAATTTGCTAGGTGTAAAGTGGAACTTCAGGTTGTTTTAATTTGCATTTATCTTTTAATTAGTGGTGCGAAGCATTCTTTCTCATGTTTATTAAAAGTTTGGAATTATTTGAAGAAGTTCTTATTCATACCTTTTGACCACTTATCTAATGGAAAATGCTTTTTGTACCAATGTACTCTTTATATAGATAATAACTCTGCTCCTATCCTACCATCCACAGGATGTATGCTTTGAGTTGTGCTTCCCTTAGTAGGGATGGCCATGTACCAAACCAACCATATTTCCTTTACAAAATTCTCCTTGCATGCATTGATGAGACAGCTGACTTAGATTAGTAGTGAAAGCTCAGTTTGTAAAGATTGAGTAAAATTAAATGGCAGTGTGATATTTAAGTCTTAGATTTCTTGAGTTTGTTGATTATAAAGGTTAATTTTCCATGTATATATCCACATGGACTTCAGATGGAACACCCCCTTCAGATGTTTACATCAAGGCTCCAGAAAAGATGAGGACTCTAATTCCTTTCAGGATAAAATCATTCAATATACTGCCTTTCCATTCAGCGCAAGAAGGTATCTGTCACTCAAACCTGCACTCCCTGGGATAAAGGTTTGTCAATCATGTTCCATCTGAGCGGCCCTGGACATGTTTTATTGAAACAATGACCTACCAGCCTTGCCTGGAAGGAACATTGATTCTTGGTGTAAAGTAGTTTGGGGAAAAAGAAACACAACAGCTTGGCGTTCCCCAGAGGACCCACTGTCCCACCTTCCAATATGTCTATCAAAGACCCAAGCATAATGCAAAATTCATTTTAAAATGCATTGCTATCTTATTTATTTTTAGGAATAAGAATCACTGAATGTTGAATCTCTTCTTGGAACGAAAAAATCCTGTACTTGCATATGATTATTGACCTAGATATTTCATTAGCATCAGTTGTAGAAGTCAAGAAATGAATGAGAAATATATATAGGTCCCAAAGAACAATGCAAATTAATAGTCCACTGCTGGCAGTCTAGTTTCCCAAGGGCAAATGGGGTCAGCCAGAGAGACCAGAAAAAAAAAAACTCACCTACTAAAAGAATAGAAGTTCTACACCAAGAGAGCTTGGGAAGCTATGAATTCACTGAATAAAGTTCAATTGTGGAGGGGTGGCGGGAATCTGCCCTGCCAATCTAGCCTAGCATATGTGTATGAAACAGAACATCCTGATGAAAAGCCCAGACCAACTTTTAACTATAATGACAGACTGTCTATTGGAAACTGAGGGTGCTCCTTAGCTGAAAGAAGGGAAGAATAAAAATGGCAATTGTACTGTTGCAAAGACTGGACGAAATTAAATGGCAATGCGATATTAAACCTTCATGACCTAGGTTTCTTGGGTTTGCTGATCATAAAGGTTCATTTTCCATGTATGTATATCTACATGGACTTCATATGGAACAACCCCATCCACTGGGAGCCATTAAACAATTCACCCCAGCCATTTAACATAACCAATCAAAATAGGCAGGATACTCACTGTTCTTTTTGTACATCAGGATTTCAAAAGAGTTCATTTCATAATTCTCAAATGTCTGCCGCACCTTCTCAATTGTATCTTTGTCTGTCAGCTCCCCATACATAAAACTGTAAATCAATCAACAATTCCAAATTAAAACACTCCTGCTCAACCCAACAAACACCAAATATGGTCAGTATGCTAGGTTCTGGGGCTACAAATGCAAAAGAAGAAAAATTCTTTACTTTCAAGACTACTTTCTATTAGCAGATACCTGTTATTCTTTTCTAACACTAGGCCTAGATTTGTATCTTTGAACATATCCTAAGACCTGTTGGCTATGTTGTACTATAATTACTCAGTTACTTAAGCTGAATATACTATTTGAAAACATAAGTTATAGGAAAGAATTTCTTATTTTGCATCTTGACCAAAACCTTAGAGATCAAGGAGACTTCTTGGAGACCTTGGAGAGGTAGCCAAACCAAAAATGAGCTTTAATGCACAAAGTTAGAATGTGAACAGAAAGTCAGAGGCATGGGCTTTCAGATTCACTCCATGAGACAGGCAGCACAAATCGTACCCCATGCCCCCTTTACAGATAAGGAAACCAAGGTTATCCAAGGTCATATAACTAATATGTAAGTATAAGAAGCAAGACTTGAAACCAGGTCTTCTGAATAAGTATTTTCCCTATTGTGACACTTTCTCTGATCTCTCCTACAGAGAATACACCATAGAATTTAACTTAGCATCGTTATTTTGAAGCGTTAAGAGTTCCACACTTTCGAGAAAGCACCTACCATTTGTTGATTGATTGAATGACTACAAAGCTCTGTACTGGGTCTTGGAGAAAATACAAAGTTTGAGTAAGACATACTCTTTGCCCTCGTGATATTTAGAGTTCAGGAAAGAGATCTGACACATACTCAAATGACCACAAAACAAAACAATATAAATTATTGTACTATAATATAGTTATACTGTAAGCAGTGACTGAGTCAATGTTTAATCAAAACAATCAATGAGCATCTATTAAGCTCTGACTGTGTGCCAGGCATTGTGCTTAGAGTTAGAGAATACAAAGAAAAAACAAAAAGAAATAGGTCCTTCCACCAAGAAGCTAATATTCTATTGGGATAGACATGCATCTAATAAGCATGTATACACAGTATGTATACACAATAAACACAAGGTTGTAAGAGGAAGCACTAGCTTCCTGGGGAGAGGGGAGCATCAGCAAAGGCCTCATATAGAAGGTGTTCCTTGGGCAAAGTTTAAAAAAAAAAAGAATTCTAGAAGGCAGAGGTGAGTCCATTGTAGGCATGGAAAATAGCCAGTACAAAGTCATGGAGATGGGAGATGAAGTAATATGTGTAAGAAACAGCAAGAAGGTCAGTTTAATTAGACCAGAGATGGGAAACCTTAAGTGCAGCCTTTTGACTAAATCCAAATTTTAGGTTCAAAATTTGGATTCAGTCAAAAAGCCGTACTTAAAGATCCAGAAGGTCACGTGTGGCTTCAAGGCTAGACCACACTGTGCATGAAGTGGGATGAGCTAGAAGTCAGTCAATAACAATTTATTTTGCACTTACTAGATACCAAGTACTGCACTAAGTATAAGTTTGTAAAGGTAGGTCGATACCAGGCTATAAAAGGCTTGAAAAGCCAAATCCAGTAACTTTTGTTTCATTTCAGAGATAATTAAGGGTCACTGGAGTTTGTTGAATTGGGGAGTGACCATCAGATCCAAGCTTTAGGAAAACCACTTTGGCAACTGTCTGGAAGATAGATTGTAGAGGGAGCAGCTAGGTGGCGCAGTGGATAGAGCACTGGCCCTGAAGTCAGGAGGACCTGAGTTCAAATCCAGCCTCAGATCAAACACTTGACACTTACTAGCTGTGTGACCCTGAGCAAGTCACTTAACCCCAATTGCCCTAAAAAAAAAAAAGATAGATTGTAGAGGAGACAGACTTGAGGCAAAAAGGCCAAGAGTATTGCAGTAGTCCTGACGGAGGTGATTGAGTATAACCTCATTAGACTGTGAGCTCCTTGAGAGCAGGGACCATCTTTTACTTTTCTTTGTGTCCCTAGTACTTAGCACAGTGCCTGCTACATAGTAGGCACTTAATAAATGTTTATTGACTAAATGGGAAGATGTGGAAGGTAGAAATCAAAAGATCTGGCTACTGTTTGGAAGTGAGGAGTGTAGGATGCCACCCACTGGAAGGATGGTGTTGTCCTTGACAGAAATAGAGGATTTCAGAAAAGGGATAGGTTTTGCAGGAAATACAATAACTTCAGTTTGGGACACAGCGAGTTTGAAATGCCTTGTGGGACATCGATTTGCATAGGCAGTTGAAGACATAGAAATAAAGTTCAGGACAGAGACTAGGGCTAGAATGTAGAAAATTTTGGCAACATCGGAATGAAGATAATAATTAAACCAAAGACATATGATATTAAAAACTTTTTTGAGATCTTATTCCTACTTTTTTATTACCATACTTACAGGGCACCCATAATAGTATTGCCACAGAGCAGTTTTTCTTCCCCTTTGCTATAAGACTATCAACTATTATTTCTCAATCATGCCAATGTCCGTCTAATGGAAACCCCTCCAATCTGCATGGGCTGTGAAACCACATAATAGAGCTTGTTAAAATTGTATTTAAATAAGAATAAACAGACTCTGAATGAGAGTCCTCCTACAAAAAAAAGGCATGAGTTTTATTATTGCAGGTATTCTGTGACATCTATTTTGGCTCCTCAGAGCTATTGATCACTTCCTTCCTGGTTTTTGGTTGGGTTTCAGATGGCTACTGGGCAAGTGATCTCCAACAAACTGAAGTGTATATGTGTGTATATGTGTGTGCACATGTGTGTGTGTGTGTGTGTGTGTGTGTGTGTGTGTGTGTGTGTGTGTGTATGCTACCAAGATACTTTTTAAAGTTTCATAAAGGGAACTTGAAATTTCATAACAATGAATTGGCAAGTAAAATAAGATGAATTCACTCCCTACTTCATCAATTCTCTCTGTACTATATCAGGTCATGGCATTGTTTTAAGTGCCTTGTAGGTATGGTAATTTCCCACTTAGCTGGATGTCAGATTAAGAAGTGGGAAAAGTATCTCTGAGCTGCTAGTGCTACAGCTCTTGAAAGAACTCCTGCCACACTCTTCAAGGGGCCTAGAGCTACCCTCAAGACAGAAAAGATCATGGAAGGTAAAAACTTTGCTAATTTCAGTTTAGTTTAATTAATGATCTCTCATTAGGTGTCGGAATACTACTAATAGTACTAGTTAGGAGGATACTAGGTGGCAATCTGTTTAGAGTGACGGAACAAGAGTCAGGAAAACATGAGTTCAAATCTAACCTCGGACACCTGCTAGCTGTGTTATTCTGGAGTCACTTGACCTCCAACTGCATGTCTGACTGTATCATCTCTTCTACTCAATAAATTCCAGTGGTTCCATATTGTTTCTAGGGTCAAACATAAAGTCATTGCTTGGCACTGAAAGCTCTTCCAGTGTGGCCTCTTTCTTTCTTTCCAGTCTTCCATATGTTATTCCCCTAATCATTTTCTACAATCCAGCCATACTGTCCAACTTGCTCCTCCTAATCTGTGACTCTATCTCCTATGTCTATGCCTTCTCCCAGCTGTCCCCCGTGCATAGAATGTTCTTTCTCCTCACCTCAGCTTCTTAAAAACCTTCAAGACTGAGCTTAATTATTACCTTCAGCAGGAAAACTTTTCTTGTCCCACTTCCCCCCAACTGCTACTGTCTTTCCCACTAAGGGAAATGTTTATTTAATGTTCATATATTGTATGTACCCATACATATACATGTTTTTCCCCTTTTTAGGATATAAGTTCCTTGGGAGGCAGGGATTCTTTTTACTTTTTCTTTCTATCTGCAAAGCCTAGCACAATGCCAGGCACATAGTAAGCACTTAATGAATGTGTGTTGGTGGATAGGAGTTTGAGAAAAAATATGTTGTTCCCCCTCTCCAAAATTATTCAGTAGATATTTGCTCCTTGAAATTTTCTTGCCCTGAATTCCCATAGTGCTAATCATTTGAGTCCTCCACGATGATTAACAGTATAGATCAGTAGACTGAGAATTAGATAGGAAATCAGAGACTGAGATTCTTATGAATAGTATGCTACTAACTAGCACCTTGACCTTGGGCAAGTCACTTCCACTATCTAGGATTCTGTTTCCTCACCCATAAAACAAAGCCATTGGACTGAATAATCTCTATGTCTTCTTTGAACAATATCATTGCAGCACTTAGCGCTGTGCCTGGCACCTAGGAAGAGCTTAATAAATGTTTATTGACTGATTGATTCTGTGGTTCTTTAAAGTTAAAACTTTTGTTAACTCAGTCGCTCTCCAGTTTTGTTCCCATTGACTGAGGAGGGGAGCAGTATTGAAGAAATAAAGCAGGAAAGGGAAATTGGGGCTTTGTATAAAATGCTAGGGATAGATGATTTATAAACAGTTGAAAGACTTGAAAAAGTTTTTACTAGTCATTGGGTGAAAATGAGAATTTCACCCAAAAAAGCATAAAAATATTTAATTTTTTTTGTTTTACAAATTCTTAATGGTACACTGTTTCAACACAGGTGATATCTTTCAACAAATACCAAACAAACCCCTTACAAAGCCCATTCCCAGAAAAAACATTATTAACCAGAGAATATGTCTTTTAATTTTGAGAGTATGGTTCTGTAATTAACTAGAGTTTCATTGCCTCTCCATGACAACTTCATTTATATCATCATAGTCATTTTGTATATTATTCTGTTGGCTCTGCTTTCTTCACTTTATATGTAAAGCTTTTAAAAACTGGCCTTTATAGATCTAAAATTACTTTATTAGTTTATCAATATAAAAATGTATTATGTATTATGTTTACCTTGTTACATTCATAAATTTTCTTTAATATATTGAAAAATGTAGTTTGTTCAAGGAATAAGTTAAAATCAATCCATTTTAAATGGTTCCTATTTTTGTTATAAGCAGAATATCAACTACTGAACTTCAGGAAATTTAGCATCTTATCATTTTTGACCACTTAGAAGTAGGCTAATACTTGGGAACATAAAACTAACATCAACATTAAGTAAAAACAAAGACATTATTTTACTAGGAGGTAACATTCCTCATGTCAAACTGATAGCAAAGTTTATACAAAAAAAAAAAGCTCATTTTCAGAAAAAGAATTCAGGATGAAAAAAATAAAGAAAAAAGACAAATAGAATACAACTTTTGCTGCATGGAACTTAGCATAATCAGTCTCGTTTTTATGAGTTCTATCAGCAGTTTCTGTTCCTGATCCTGTGCTACTGCTGCTGTTCAGTTGCATCTGACTTTTCGTGACCTCATTTAGGGTTTTCTTGGCAAAGATACCGGAGTGGTTTGCCATTTCATTCTCCAATTCATTTTACAGATGAGGAAACTGAGGCAAACAGTATTAAATGATTTGCCAGGGTCACACAGCTAATAAGTATCTGAGGTCATATTTGAACTCAAGAAAATGCATCTTCGTAACTCCAAGCCCAGCACTCTATCCACTGCACCACCTAGCTGCCCCTACCTTATCATAGCTTTTCATAATCTTCCCCCACTTATTGAAATAAAAAATTTTATTATGATGATATTAATAATAGCTAACATTTATATTACCTACCATGCGCCAGGCACTGTGCTAAATGCTTTACAATTATTATCTCATTTGATCCTCACAACACCAGGAAGAAGGTGGATAGGGACAAGTGTTATTACCTTCTTATTTCATCTAAGTGTTTCTAAACATAGATCCATTTATTTATTTTACATCCTGGAGAAGATGAAGATTCTGAAGAAGGAGGAGCTAGAGGAATCATAACTTGTATTACTCAAAGGCTTTCTTCCACATTGTAGGAAGACTATATTTTGAAATGATCCAGACCCCATTCCTGGCCCAAACAACTAAATACATTTTTTGTACTGCAACATTTGAAAGCTAAGAATTTTATGAGGTGAAGGGTGAGGTAGGATACATTCTTGACGTAAGGTACAGCTGTACAAAGATGTGGTGATGGGAGATGGAATGTCATGTTTAGGGAACAGCACACCAGCCATTTTGGCTCGAACACAAGAATACATGGATAGTATTGTGCAATAAGCCTAGAAAGATAGGGAGAGACAGATGGTGAAGGCTTTAAAAGCCAAACAGAGGAGTTTTTACTTCATGCTAAAGGCAACAAGGGTCCACTGGAACTTCCTGAGCAGGAGAGTGACACAGTTAGCCCTGTGCTTTAGCAGTATCAGTTTGCCAGCTGAGTAGAGGATGGATTAGGGAGAGCAAAGCCTGGAACCTGGGACACCAAATAGGAAGCTACTACAATAGTCCAGGTGAGAGGTGATGAGACTTCCTGCTGCATATAGTTTAAAATTCATCTTAGGAAAGCAAAGAAAGAGTAACATTGTATGACCAGGTTGCCTTAATCATTCTTTAAAAATCAGGATCTAATTCTTTGTAAATTTTAGAAGGAAAAATAATGTATTTCAAGGAGTAGGAGAGAGAGAAGAAAACTTTATTTTTCATTTTTGAACTTTTTTTTCTGGCTTTCACATCTCTACATTGGTAGATTGATAAATGCTGCCAGTAACAATTCCAAAAACTGTTATCGTTTGTTTTGTTTATTTTTCTGTGGAGCTTCATTACTGGGGGCAAAAAGGGCAGCATGGAATAGCAAGGAATGCCCTAAACGTTGGAATCAGGAAAGATGAGTTGAAGTTGTGACTCCCAGCTCTAATGCTTACTATTCATGTGACTCTTAGTAAATTCTTCACTTCTCTGAGGCTGTTTCTGTCTCTATAAAATGGGAATGATTTTTACAGTACAGATTTATCTTGAAGAAAGCCTGAAAGTACTATGGAAATGAATTGTAGTCATTACTATAATTAGAAAGATTCCAAAGATAACTACCTGCAGGTACTGCTTTTTTGCATGACTTCCGCCCTGTGGTATCCTGATAACTTGCAAAATCCATCATTGCTGTAGACGATGGGCCAGTCCACTATCTGAGCGTTGCCCAGCACAAAGTTGGTATCTGTTGGAGAGAACACATGCAGTCAAATGTCTAAATGGAATGTAGTGAAGGAATGATGGGATATCAACTAGTCATGGTAATTCTCATTCCCTGAAACCCACTGCCATGCAGTGTCTTTGAATGAGAGCCTGGCACTCACCTTGGGAGAGACAAACAAGAGGAAACCTATCCATGTAAATACAAGCCATCAGTGTGTCAGCTGTCTCAGACTGCAAAGACACTAGGAAAGGGAATCAGCTTAAGTGACTGGTCAAGAGACTCCTAAAACTGCCTAGAAACCTAGCAAGGTCTCTAGTGTTCATGCTCATGGAGGGATATGGGCAACAAAACAACAGATAATTCTCAAGTTATTTCTTCTTGGCCTTTTATGTTAGTTTCCATGTCTTACCAGGAGCAGCAACAGATTTGGTTTCCTAATTCAATTCGGCTCGGGCTAACAATAAAAGAGTTTGCACACCCCAAGCACACATTACAAGCAGGGGCAGGCAGCTGGAAAGCAGGCTGAGTGGCAGGTGGAGGCTTAGGGAGGGATTAAACCTAGCAAGTAGATATGGACTCTATTTACACAGTTGTTCCCTAGCACTAAACGTGCTCAAGCAGAGGCTGGATTGCCACTTACTAAGGATGTTTTAGAAGGTATTCATGTTTCAGGCATTCCCACCTTCAAATCTTCACACAGACTGCCCTGAAAGCCTGGAATGAACTCCTCATCTCAACAAGTCAATAAGCATTTTTTTAAGTGTTTATTATGTGCCAGGCACTGGGGAAATAAATACAAGCAGAAAGGAAGACAGTCTTTGCCCTCAAGGAGCTTCCATTCTAAGGGGGTGGGGAAACACATAAAAGAAAGCCAAAAAGCAGAGGAAAGAGGGGAGGGAGGGAGGGAGGAAAGGGCATGATAGAGAAAGTCCAGAGAGTCAGGAATGGAGCCTGGAGAGAATTCTTAAAATGGAAGGATCAACCAATCAAAAAAGGGTGTCACAGAGGCAGTGAACTTCCAGTGTGAGGAGGTCGCATGGTTTAAAAAAAATCCTCTAATTAGCATCCTTAGTTCTCTTCAAGACCCAGTTCTGACATCAGCAGCCTTCCCTGATCTCCCAAAACAGTAGAGTTCTCTTCTCCTCTGCCTTCCTCAAATTTTATTCACTCATCTGTGTAAATATTGCATCCACTCAGCAGAATATAATCTCCTTAAGGGCAGGGAATGTTTTGTTGTTTTTTTTCCTGTAATTCCCATGCCCTACATGCAGTAATTACATTAATAAGTGTTTGTTTAGTGAATAGATAGTATCTGAAGTCCCCTTTAAGTTCTCCTGTTTAATTTGCAAAGTTGATAATCCACTCAAAGATAAACAAGTATTAACCATAGCCTGATTTTGTGGAAGTTGAACCAAATCCTCCCCGAACCAGAGCTATAGCAAGGGCGAGACAAGCAGGGCTTTGGCCCAGGGTGTCAAAATGCAGAGGACACTGAAAGCATTTCCTTCATAGCATGGAAACAACTGGGTTAAATGCCTACTTACCAAAGGTAATTTCTTAAAATGAAAGCTCCCAGACCATATGTGTATGCATACTCCTCCACTGAAGCCACACCTTAAGTGAGTTCCTCTGAAGCCAGTCCTGGTCTACTCCAATCATTGAGTGGCAGCTAAAGTGACCTCACTGTGTCCCAGAGAACATCACCACACTTGGGGTCTCCCTGGCCAACTGAATTCTCCCAATTGCCAAAAGTAATTCTTATGGCTCTACTTCCATCTAAATTCAGCAGCTTAGGAAACTGCATTAAGCCTTTCAGGTCACCCTAGAGCCAATCTGTCATTTATCACTTTCATGCCTCAAACAGTATAGATGAAAGCCTAGTTTATTTATATTTATTCTCTCCTTCATTTTAGAAAACCTCTCAGGTCCTTGTGGACCTTTTCCCCCCCTATCTTCCTTCTTTCTTTCAGGAACTTGGGCCATGTAAATAACATCTAATTTGCCACTGGCTAGGAAGCTAAATAATGCTTGCTAGAATTGAATCTGAAATTAAAATAAATAGGCCCTGAGCAAGGGTTTCTCCTGTGAGCAAGAGGTACAAGCTCTCCTTCAAAGACTTTGGGGATATCCATTCTGGCTGCCTAGAGAGGTATTCCAACATCCAAAAGAAAATTCACTGTTTGGAGCTGATGTGTTTGTACTGATGTATAAACTCAGCAAAACATAATTAGGAAAGTAACTTGCAGCTTAAATAAAGAGTATAGCTTCATGCTTCCAGTTCAGAATTGAACATGATCTGGATATGAGAAAATATGCAAACTCTAGGGAGATGATTTGGAATCCTCAATCCCACTTCCACTGCCAAGTTAGAAGGTTTGGCTGAAGAGTCTTATACATATGAATAGAAGTCTCTAATAATATTCTGTTACTATCCTCTATTGAATTAGAGCCACAACTCCTGTGACTTCCTCTTGTAGAGGTTACTTATCTGGCAACATCAGCTGTCCAGTACAGAGCTGAGAATCCAACTGTATCTTTTAGAAACCCCAAGCTTTACGTAATAATGCTCTCTGTCTTCAGTGATAGTTGCACCCACTTAGACAAGACTCTATTTTAATATGGAATCATAGGTCCCTCAGAACCAAAGGAACCACTGAGAGGTCAAGGAAAAAAAGTTGGAACAGAAGGGGACATTGGAGATTCCCTCTAATCCAGCTCCTTTTTCTGAATTGTACAGAACCTGAGGCCCAAAGAGGGAAATGACTTTGGCAATGTTGCACAGCTACTCAGTGGCACAGCTAATCAGTCAACAAGAATTGATTAAGCACCTACCACGTATCTGCTGCTGTGCTAGGTAAGAAGGATACAAAGATACTAAAACTGCTACTCTGTCTTCCTCCCTTTTAAAAATAGAAGGCATTTATTTCCCTTGGCAACAACCATCTTCTGGTATTTCAGAGATTTAGTGTTATTTCATAGCTAAAATTGTAATAGGCGCTTAATAAATGCTTATTGACTAACAATTACATGGACTTGCACAAATTTACTACCATCTAGTGGCAGCTATTGTGTGTTGCAAATAACAGTCATGGCTCCAGGGGACAGATCATGCAATCAATACATCTCCCTCTTGGGGGAAGGGAGAGACTATGAGGATGCAACATAGCAGGTACTATCAGATATGCTTCCTGTAACCATTAGTTTGCTTAATTGTTTTTCTTAGTTATAAAGGAGACTTCTATTGGAAAGTAACTACTATTAAAAAAAAAAAGAATGCATCAATAAAACTAAAAATGTATATTGCAAGGTAGCACTTAAATGGGGGCTGAGAGTGGGGAGAAATTCTTTTCTCTGCCAAACCTAAAGTAATAACATAGCTGGTAACGAGTTCTGATGGATGTTTATCAATGCGACAGGTCTCAAATGCACTTTTCCCACTTTTATGACACTGTTAGTCTTACTTTCCAATGTGAGATTTTTCATATCTTACGAATGTTGAACTCTACCTGAAGACTTTCCCGCATTCCTTACGTTCAGAGAGTTTGTCTCCAGTATGACTTCTCTGATGTCTGATGAGATTTTGACTCTGGCTAACAGCTTTCCTATATTCATTGCATTTGGAAGGTTTCTTTTCAGTATGACATTTCTGATGTGCAGTATTGGATGAGCTGAGATGAAAGGGCTTCCCATATTCATTACATGCATAAGGTATCTCTCCAGCATGAATCATCTGATCCTCAGATGGATAAAGAGTGCCTTGATTTTTTAACAATCTCTAGGAAAGGAAAGAAACTCTCTGATCTCTTACAGAGCATTGTTGGTGCCTACGATTTGTTTGTTTTACATCATACAGAGCTAAGACCTGAATTTTATACTTATCAGAACTGTCTTTCTGCTGTGGCTGGTGTATTTAAGATACTACTATGCATAAACACTCTAGCAGATAAAGGATTCTTCAAAGAAAGATGCCCATTCCTCTGCTAATGAGGCCCCTTGGAAAGTGATTAGCCAAGTCCCTCAAACCTAAAATATCTGTTTATAGTAAACTTACTTGATTGAACCCAGCACTGTAAAGCCAACTGAATCCATTGAAGCACTACTAACTCTCCCCAAATTTATTGTGGCTTGGGGAGAAGGTCAGGAATAAACTATACAACTCACGGCCCAAGTCTTAATCTAATCCAAATTGTATTTCCAGACCATAAATGAAATAGAGAATCCAATAGCAGAAACATTTCATTAAGAAATTAAAACATAAAGAACAAGGAAGGGAACCAAGTGGTGAAAGTATCCTTGGAACGTACACACAAATAGGAGCAACTGCCTATACCTCTCAGGGAGATTTAATTCAATTTCTATTTAATCTCTTTGGTTGCGCAAGACAGTTACCTTAGAACCTACAGCCACAATAGTCAATATTTATGGTATCCTGCTGTTTGCTTCTTTAAGTTTCATTTCTGGGATTCTTTGCGGGAAATATAGGAAATAGCTAAAACTTGACTCAACTATGCATTCTTCAGGACCAGCTATAACTCCTAGAGTCAGGGACATCATATTCATATCACCCCAGTGGTCCTCCTCTGTCTCCCCCTTCAATCTCTGTACTATGGCTCACAAAATCCTTGGGTTGACTGTAGCATGGGAAACAAGTTCTAAAGGTATGTCTACTACTACATCTCTCTATAAAATTGGTCCAAGTTAAACATTCATACACCTTCTAGGTTAACTATATGATAAGCGAGAGAAAAAGGGAAGCATAGTAGAGTCCACTGAACTGACATCAAAAGACATGAGTTCGAATTCTGGTTCTGCCACTTACTGATTGCGTGGTCTTTGGCAAATATTTGAGCCTCAGTTTCCTCATCTGTCAAATGGGAATAATAGGACTACCTACCTCACAAAGTTGTTTAAAAAAAAAAGGTTTAACCATGGCAATTTCTTGTAGCCTTTCACCATAGACTTTAGCCACAAGAGTTACCAATAAGAAGAACAGATAACTGAAGAGCTTGCTTCTAGCAAGT